GTGCATGGCACGAAGCCGCTGCAGAGACGGGTGGCTAAGGCGGTGGTGCCAGAGGACAGTCTCGTGTGCCAGAGAGCGACACGAGCAGGGGGCCGACAGCTGACCTGACGCGGACGCAGACGCAGACGCAGCGACCTGAGGGGACTCAGTGGTCAGTATGTACAGGTCCTACCCTGGCTGCCGAGTGAAGGTAGCCAAGTGACGGCCCGTACGAGCACACGTGCAGTGTGTCACTCGCTCGTAGGCACGGATGAACTGGTGAACACCCCCGTCCTGGAGCGCACATCCTGCCACCAAGTTCGTAGAGAACAAAGGGAGGTGGAGACCTGACAGTGTGCCCGACGGGACCACAGGACAGGGGAGGCCAGTGGAGGAGGTCACAATGACCGGACCCCCAAAGGGGTCAGCTAGGGAGACAGCAACTGGCCGAGCAAGGGCTGTGCGGTCACGAAAGAAGTAGCGAGAAGCACCTGAGTCCAGTGTGAAGGTGTGCAGTGCTGCAGTCTACTCAGTACCAGGGGGGGCATACGCACAAGCACCTAGAGCAGCTGCCTCACGAGCACCTCGGGTAGCAGACAGGCGAGTACCTGGAGCGGCAGACGCACTTGTCCTAATGCCCGGGTCGGGCGGCACACACAGGTACTCAGCACCCTCTCCACTAGTAGACATCACATATATAGCAGTGAGAATAGCATCAAAGTGTAGAGCATAGATATCAATCCCCTTCTTCAGGAGATCAAGCCAACGGGGCAGCTCAGTGGCCTGAGGGAACTGAACACGCCAAGCGTCGTTGAGACAAGCGAAGCAGCGCTGTGTGGCGTGCAGTCTCCCACACGGCTGACCAGTGCGGTCACCAGTGCGAATGACGTACGTGCAGCTAGCCACCCCCCCCCCCCCCCCCCTCCGTGCTAAGAGTACCACTCACGGACGGAGTGTGCTGCTGGCCCTGGCCACCGCCAGCGCCTCCATGACCACCACCGCCGCCGCCGCCACCTCCTCGACCACCCCAACCCCTGCCGCCGCCGCGTCCACCGCCACCCCCACCACCGTCTCCGCCCTTGCCAACTCCCCCGCCGCTGCCGCCACCACCCCCACCGCTGCCACCGCCCCCACCAGCGCCTCCCCTGCCGTCACCGCCACCGCCCTTGCCCCTTTCGCCCTTGCCGCTGCGACGCGCGCTCGAAGCAGGCGCAGTCCCGACCTTCTCAGCACCAAGGAGGTCAACAGCAGCAGCAGAGGCGACAGAGGGAAGAAGGGGGGAAGGAGAACACCCCTCGAAGAACGGGGTACGGGGGTCGCCACGAGAGGCACCTACAGCGACTATGCTAGCCTCAGCTGCAAGCAGTTCCTTCTCGAGGAGGGTAATGGTGAGCTCAGTGGGGCAGCGAGCTAGGAAGTGGTCCCTGACTGAGCGCAGAGTGTCAGGGAGGCGCGTGACTAGGTGGTAGAGAGTGAGCCAGAGCGGGGGTGGGTTCTTGGCAAGGAACTCATCAGGCATAGCAGCGCGGAAGCGAGCCTCACTAGTGCGGAGGTGCGTAATGAGGTCAGGGACTACGTGGAAAGAGGCTAAGTCGGGGAACAGGTAGGGAAGAGAGAGACCGCCTAGTGCGGCAGAGGCCGGTGAGGAGTAGCGGGCAACAACAGCAGTGTACAGTGCCTGTGCAGTCTTGTGCTACGCAAAGTGCTCGCGCTCATCTATCGGCAGGGAGTTGCGAATAGCAAAGCGAGCGTGGGCGTCACGAGTCTGCCACTGTGAGCGGGCAGTGCTGTCAGCGGTAGCAGCAGGGGCAGTGACATGGCCTAGGGCGTGGCCGTACAGAGAGATGTCGTCCTTGGCAGTGAGCTGTAGATAGAGGTGCAGGTCATCTAGCCAGGTGTCAAACTTCACTGGGCGGCCCTCAGCATCGAAAGCTAGCACAGGTGGGCTAGCCATAGGAGCAGTAGGAGCAGCAGTAGGAGTAGGAGGGTGAGATAGGTAGGGCGGCTCGGACAGTTCGCGCGGCGCGGTTCGGTTCAGGTAGGGCGGCGCGGCTCGGGTAGGGCGGCGCGGTTCGGTTTGGGTCGCGCGGCTCGGCTCGGAATGGGCGGCTCAGTTCGGGTCGCGCAGCTCGGCTCGGTCCTGGAGAGGCTGTGGCGGTCACAGGCCGTTCGGGGCCTCTAGGGGCGAGCGCGGGGCCGTAAGGGGCCGCTAAGGGCGAGCGCGGGGCCGTTCGGGGCCTGTAGGGGCGAGCGCGGGGCCGTAAGGGGCCGCTAGGGGCGAGTGCGAGGCCGACGAGGGCCTCTAGGGAGGTGAGGGCGGGGCCGACGGGGCCGTTAGGGGCGATCGCGGGGCCGACGGGGTCGCTAAGGGTCAAGCGCGAGGCCGTAAGGGGCGAGCGCGTGGGCCGACGGCGCCTTAGGGGGCCGTGAAAAACGAGGTGCCCTAGGGCGCAGTTAGGTAGGTAGGTAGGTAGGTAGGTAGTGGTGGGCCCTAAAAAAAAACGGTCCTAGCGAAGTACCCGCTCTATACCATGTTGAAATGAACGAACAGGAATGATTGAACTAACAGTGAAATCAGTACAAGTACCTAACCCTAGAATTGTGTACCCCCTACAGGCTAACCCACTGTAGCCTAAACAAGCACGACATATATAATGTTTGACACATCCCCCTCAGCAGCAGCTGGAAAACGAACGGGCAGGGGGGCGCGCGCGGCTTCCCAGGGCGCCGCAACTGACGGGCGGGGGGCGCGCGCAGCTCCCCAGGGCGCCGCGACAAGAAGGGCGGGGGTCGCGCGTGCTCCCCAGGGCGCCGCGACGAGCAGGGCAGGGGCTGCGCGCGGGTCCCCAAGGCCGCGCGACGGGCGGACGGGCCGCGCGCAGCCTGCAAACCCGTGCAAGGCCTGCAAAGCGACGCGACGGGAAGGGCGGGGGGCTGCGCGCGGGTTCCCCACGGTAGGAAACCGCCGCGCGCCTCGGGGTGCATGGCGGGCAGAGAAGAAGGCGTCGTACGCCACGGGGGGTGCAACAGACAGAGTAGCAGCGGAAGCAGTTAGGTGGTGGACCCACCCACATGATCGACCCAAGGGGGTCGACCTGCTCTGAAACCATGTCATAGTTAGCAGGCAGAAACAGAATTGAAGAAAGGAGGAGTTTCACTAGCAGCAGTTGGGATACATATAGCAAACCCTAACTGGGTTGTACCCGCTATAGAGCACCCCACTACAGGCTAGATAATAACATTCTGGCAGGATGGACATCAACGTCGTCATGCGCTGGCTCGAGGAGTGCGTCAAGCCCTTCATCCGGCCTCGGTTCGGCAGGCAGGCGAGGAGTGCCATGGTCATCCTTGACTCCTACCGCGGTCATCTCACGGATGAAGTGAAGGAGAAGTTCGTCGACCTCGCATCGTTCTGGCAGTGAACCCGTCGAGTTGTACGGCGGAGGTACAGCCCCTCGACGTCTCGAAGAACAAGTCCTTCAAAGCAAGCATCCGCCAGCAGTACCAGACCTGGTTTGAAGAGGACGGCCAGGAGCGGCTGACGCCTGCAGGTAAGAACCCCACCGTTGATCCCTAGTTGGCTGCTTCGTTTCCCGGTGTATACTATGCAAACATCATCTCCCACACTCTGACTTGTGGTGCAGGGAACATCAAGAAGCCGCCCCCTGCGGTGGTGCTCAGGTGGATCTCGCGGGCCTGGAAGGTCGTGCCACCAGAGCTGATCAAGAAGGTTCCTCACCTGTGGCATCAGCAACGCGCTTGATGGCAGTGAGGAAAACCTTGCCATGGCGCACAGGCGCAGCCAGCTGACCCACGAGGTCGACGTCGATGACGAGATCGTCGCCAACGGCTTCTTTGGCAACAACTACGAGGAGCCGGAGTCTGACGACGAGTAGATTTTAGGTTAGGGGTGTAATTCTTAATGTGTAGTGAGATTAGTGGTAGAGAGGCATGTGTAGAATTCATGTTAGTGTAGGTAATTATGTTTAGATAAAAAAAAATCGTGGAAAGACTACCCCCTGGGGGAAGGGATGCGCTTATAAAAAGTACTAGCATTCTAGGGGGTGCACTTATAATTAAGAACCGGCCATAAGCGCATGGCTCCAGATAGAAGCGCCGGCGCCTTTAATCAGGCGGCGCTAATATCGGGGCGCTATGATACTGTATGGCCCCGGATATAAGCGCAGGCCTATTATAAGCGCATGCGCTTGTATCTGGAGCAATGCGCTTATGGCCGATCCTCATTTATAAGCGCACCCCCTGTAAAACCATGACTTCTTATAAGCGCATGTATAACTATATTTTTAAATCCTGATAAACACAGTAACGAAATTCAGTTTTGCAGCGAGCCACATCCATTTTCACATTGTTCGACACTCTCGTGGGCCTCGCTGGCTTCGAGACTTTGAGTCCAGTCAGGAGGATGCGCTGGCACGCCTGCAAAGTGACGTGCCAAGGCTCTTTTCGCCGGCAGAGAATCGCCCTTGCGCAATTCTGACTTCGGACCCTCTCACAATGCGTTTCGATTGAGATCGCAAGACTGAGATGTACAATTTGGTGCCTGTAAAATAAGCGCATGCGCTAATAAAATTTCCTCAATTATAAGTGCACCCCCCTAAAAAAAACGTTTTATTATAAGCGCAGGTGCGCTTATATCCGGGGTGATACGGTACCATATATTCTTGTACTCTGAGAACTGGCCTTGTGGACCCTTGTTTGTGCTCGGACTGCATAGTGATCTTCAGATCCACACTAAGCTTTGTTTTGTTTCTTGCCTTGACTGGTCTTGTGACCATTTGGTGTCACTTGTTTGTTTTCTTGGTGCCCCTCACTTAACCTATGTATAGAGGTATGTAAAAATGCAATAACTGTAATAGGCTGTAGTGAGGTGCCTTCTATAAGGTACAGCTTTTGAGTCTGCATACCGTATTTGTACTCCATCCTCTTCCTAGTTAATCATTCTGCTATGCATCACACTTGAGAAAAATGCCTACCCTCGCTCTAGCTGAAGCTGTCCACGTTCACAAACCAGGTGAACCTGCCTCCTCCCCCTCTTGCCGCCGCTCCTCCTGCCACTGTTGCTGGTGCTGCTCCCCCTGCCCCTCCTGCTGCCCCTGCTCCCCCCATCGCCGCCTACCCCACCGCTGCCCCGCCCCCTGCATGCGCGCAGCAAGGCGGGGATCCGCCACGGAGGGCGGCAGCTGGGCGAGGTGGTGGCGGCGGCGGCGCTCGTCGGCGTTCACAGTGCGGAAGCGCAGCGCCTGCAGCAGGCCCTCTGCGCGCGCCACTCCCCCTGCCAGCCCGGCACACAGGCAGCGCCGCCGCAGGCGCAGCAGCAGTGGGCGCGACGGTGTGAAGCCCGCCTCCAGCTGAGATTGGGGCGCGCGTGGGGGGGAGAGGGGGGAAGGTGGAGAAGGGTGAGGGCGGGGTTGGGAAAGCGGTGCACCTCATGAGCTGCTGCCGTGCTCCATGCACCTCTGTGCAGTCCCAAGCATAGGCAGCGCCGGGCTGCAGCAGGAGTGGGCGGGTGGAGTGGGGTGGGCACGTGGGGCGGGAGGAAAACGGAGATGGATGTTTCAGGTTGCAATAAGCACTGCAGGCAGTGAGAGGATTAGGGTCGCATAACCTCAAAGTAATATGGCGGTGCGGTGGAGAGAGTACAGCTCACCATCTTATCCATGGCGATGCACTCACCATCTTATCCATGGCGATGCACTCACCATCTTATCCATGGCGATGCACTCACCATCTTATCCATGGCGATGCACTCACCATCTTATCCATGGCGATGCACTCACCACCTTATCCATGGCGATGCACTCACCATCTTATCCATGGCGATGCATGCCCCCGGGGCATCGAAGGCGCGGATGTGGGCGTCCACGAGGATGGTGAAGGAGTCGGCGGTGGGCGGCAGGTGCAGAGTGCGCGTCATGTGCTCAAACAGCTGCACCACCGTGCGCACCTGGGGGGTTAGGTGCGGAGCGGGGAGAGAGGGGGTGGCAGATGTGCAGAAGGACAGGCTTGTGAGCTCATGTGCTGAAAGAGCTACACCACGTGGGCAGCGTACGAGAGCAAGCCCGCACCCAAGCCAGCTTCCCACTCCAACCCAGCTACGTTTCCCTCTCAATTGACTCAGGCGCGTGTGTGGCTCTCGGCTTGAGAGTCAAGAGCAGCGGTGCCAGCAAAACTGACATCAGCCATGCCCAAGTCGCCCTCCACGAGGGCGCTGAAGGATCCAGTCGGGCTACAGCTGGAATCGCTGCTGTTGCACGCATTGAGAATTCACAGCACCACGCCTGCGGACCCGACAGCAGCAGCATTGCACAACTCACGTCGGCCACGCCCGAGTAGCACTCCATGAGGGCGTTGAAGGAGTGCGTGTCGGGCTGCAGTTGGAACGTGCGCGTGATCTCATCGAAGGTGAGCTGCGCGCGCCCCACGTCACGCTGCATGGCACACCCCGCCACCACGCAGTTGAGTGCTGCCAGCGCCACCACCTCGCCCTGCGCGTGCATGCTCTCCAACGTGCTGTAGCCCTGTGTGGTGGGTGGGGAGAGTGGGGAGAGGGGAGAGGAGGCAGACTTCTGAGGCGCCTCAGAAGTTGAGTGCTGCCAGCGCCACCACCTCGCCCTGCGCGTGCATGCTCTCCAACGTGCTGTAGCCCTGTGTGGTGGGTGAGAGAGAGTGGAGGGGGTAAGGAACTGGGGGGAGCATGGTGAGGAATGGCTACCCCAGCGTCGCCCCTGGCTAGCTGACCCCCAGCTCCCCCCAGCGCGGCCCCTGCGGCCCTGCGGCTCACCTTATCAACGACGTTGAGACGTCTCAGAAGTTATTTTAAAGTCGTATCCAAGTTGGCTCAAAAAAGTCTCACCAGCGTGCCCCCCATGGCTCACCTTATCGAGCACATCCACATTCAAGCACAGCGCCAGCGTCAGCGGCCGCAGCGACGTGAACGGGTTCAGCTCCTCCAATGGCGCGCTGCCACCTGTCACCCCCCCCTCTGCCCCCGCCAGCCCCTCCCCCTCACCCCCTGCACCCGCAGCACCAGGCGGGGCCGGCAGGGGCAGCGTGTAGCGAAATAAATCATCCTGGGGAGCGCCGGGAGTGCCGGGGCGGAACTTGGGGAAGATGTCGTAGGGGGGGAGGTCCTTGGGGCGGGCGAGCGTGGGGTGCAGCAGCAAGTCCTGCAGGTGGAGCGCGGCACGGAAGGCGCAGGGGAAGTTGGGTGCGGCGCTGTAGGCGTGGATGCGCGCGAGGTGGAAGGCGGGCGCGGGCGGGTAGGGGCGGCGCAGGAGGCGGTCCCACACGTGCTCTATGATGGGCGTGTGGCCAGCCCTGGCCGCCATGTTGGCCACGTGCAGCATCAGCCCGTCGTGCACACTGTCCCGTTGCTCCTGCAACAGCTGTGGGGGGGTGGCGGGACGGGGGAGAGGCGTGAGTTTTGAGAAGTCTCAAAACTCGTTGTGCACTTACTCACCTTGCCGTGCACGTACTCACCTTGCCGTGCACTTACTCACCTTGCCGTGCACTTACTCACCTTGCCGTGCACGTACTCACCTTGCTCCTGCATCAGCTGTTGGCAGGGAGGCGAGGGAGGGGGGCGAGAGGTGAGGGAGATTGGGGCGTGAGCAACGGGTGATAGTGGGGTGGGGAGAGAGGAATGGGAAGAGGGGATGCGAGGAGGGTGGGAGGGAGGAGGGAGAGGAGGAGGAGGAGGAGGAGGAGGAGGAGGAGGAGGAGGAGGAGGAGGAGGAGGAGGAGGAGGAGGAGGAGGAGGAGGAGGAGGAGGAGGAGGAGGAGGAGGAGGAAGAGGGGGCAAGACGTCATATGGGAGGGGAGCCTTTGCTTGATATGGCACAAGCAAGCAAGGAGTCGGAGCACCTGCATGGCGAGATAAGCGCAGTCATAGTCCTCGGTGTCCACGGCGGTCATGAGCGCATGCTCCATGGCCCTGCCCTCCATCTCTATCTTGTGCGCCTGCCATACATTGCACGGGGGCGACGAGGGCAGTGGAAGAGAGGGTGCATGGGGAGGGTGCATGGGGAGGGTGCATGGGGAGGGTGCATGGGGAGGGTGCATGGGGAGGGTGCATGGGGAGGGTGAATAGGGTGGAGTGCAAGTACACACTTGGTGCATGGGCAGAAGCCATCTCCAGCACAGCAATGGCATCACGACAGTGGAGCGTGTGCACGCATGTGGCGACGGCACGGCACAGGCACACACCCACACTCCCCAGCGGCACACACACCCACACTCCCCTGAAGCGGCACACCCCCTGCCCCCTGCCCACATCCCCCCTTCCAACACGCACCTTGACCACCTCGAGCACCGTGATGGCATCCCGGGAGCGCCGTGTGTGCAGGCACGTGGCGAGCAGCTCCGACACAGCCCGGGGGGACGGTGCCATGCGCGCCCTCCGCATGTCCGCCACGAGCTGCAAGGCCGCGTGCATGCGGCGCTCCTTGGCGCACAGCACCACCGCTGCGCTGTAGCTCCCCGCCTCCGGTACCACCCTCGCCACTCCCATCCTGCCGCCACGAGGGTGGGGGGAGGTGAAGAGGAGGAGCAGGGTGGGAGGGATGGGAGGGATGGGAGGGAGGGGAGGGGCGTGGGACGGATGGGAGGGATGGGAGGGATGGGAGGAATGGGAGGAGAGGCGTGGGGAGGATGGGAAGGATGTGAGGGATGGGAGGGGCGTGGGAGGAGAGTGGGTGCGAGTGGGTGGAAGGCGGGAGGGGCATCGCTGAAGGATGGCAGCGAGGGCGGGGCGGGAGGGGTGGGATGGAAGGACGGGGAGGGGGTTGCAGGGCACACTGGGAATGACGGGTGGTGCAGCGAGCAAGGCAGAGAGGTGTCTCATAGTCAACCCAAACTCCAATCCCCTTGCCCACGAGGGGTATGCAGCACATCAATGCACCCCACAACTCCGCATGCCCTCAACCCGCTCTTCCTTCATCCGTTCTCCCCAAACCGCCAAACCCCAACCCCCAACCGCTTTGCCCACTGCAAAGAACCTCTCTTCCCCCCCCCTCCCTCCCCCCTCCCAGCGCACGTCACGCCGCCACCCACGCGGTCACGGCCCCACACCCCCACGACACCGTGACGCCCCGACGCACTGGGTGAGGAAGAGCAGCACGGCGTTGGCGTCGCGGCGGGCGAGGGCGGTGCGCAGCAGCACGTGGAACGTATCCTTTGACGCCTGCACGCCCTGCCCGCGCATCTCCCTCATCGCGCGCACCACCCCCTGCACCGCCTGCACGGGCGGCCCCACGTGCATTAGCGCGTGCAGGTACAGCTGCCACGTCATCAGCGGCAGCGCCTCCTCGCGCTCCTTCCGTAGCTGCACCTCGAATTCGTGATTCCACCATTCCGGCCTTTCCGCCTTCTCTGCCCCGGCCCCAGCCTCCCCGGCCCCAACCTCCCCGGCTGCCTCCGCGCCAGCACCCGGCGCAGGAGCGCCCCCTGCCTCGGTTGCGCCCCCCCCTGCGCCCGCGCTCTTGTCCTTGCGCATCCACGCGCGGAAGAGCGCAACCGATTCGCGAAAGCGCGCGCTCCTGGCGAGCTTCTCCTGCGCCTCGTACAGCTCCGCCAGTGTCGCCAGCCCCGCCGCCTGCTCCGCTGCCGCGTCCGCCTCCGCCTGTCTCCCCTCGCCCATTGCGCGGGCATCCGCGCTTCCCCCGCCGTCGCTGCTCCGCGCCACATCCGATGATTCCTGCGCGCTCGCATCAACGTCGCTATCATTCGACGCGCCATCCTCACGTGCCTCGCTATAGTCATCTTCGCTTTCGTGCGACTGTGCAAGATCGTCAGTAGCTAAACTCAGCACCTCGCGGTCAGACAACCCACCTCCCCCGGATACTGCCGACCCGCCCTCCTCTCCCGCATCCTTCCGGTCGCTGCTAGCCGTCGATCCAGCATCTGATTCAGCCGTTGATCCGGAGGAAAAGCTAGCCGTTGATACCGCTGCTCTGCACCCGCTGAATCTGCGCTGAGGTGGCCACGATGACGTCAGCGAGATCTGGCGAAGGAGCGAGCGAGCCACGTCACTGCTGAGAATGTGGTGGTAACCACTGCAACCCGGACGGACGGCTGTGGAAGCTGGAGCGACGGCGAAGCGCGATTGGATGTGGGCTACGAGCGGGGAAGAAACGAACGCAGCGGATGAGACCGGAGCGGCGGGAGCGGCGGGCGGGTGGGAGTGCGGATGCTCGAAAAGAACCGATCGAGATTGTTCGGTCGCCGTCTGCTCCGATGGGGAAGCAGCGGTCGTCAACGAGCAGCGAGCAGGATCTACTCGCCGCAACTCACGCTGATCGAACGCGGCGAAGGGATCGGATGCAACGAGGAGCGGCGCTGCCGCAGCGGCGAGAGTGGCGCCGCACGACGACGCGCACGCCGCCACGGCCGTGGGTATGCTGGCCAACGCGGATCGCGACGTCATGCGGAAGTGCCACTGCGAGCGAGCAAAAAACGACAGGGTGGAGGAGGGCGAGAGTAGTTTCTTACGACGAGTGCAATTGAGTGAGCGAGCGAGAATTGCACAATCGATCGAAACAAGAGTACAATGAGCGAAGGCATGAGCTAAGAATATATAGAGAAACTACAGTGGTAACAGTAATGTGTGAAAATGGGGGTGCTCGACGGGCCTAGCGCCGAGGTTGGGAAATGTCGAGGCGGAGGTCTGGAGCGCGGCTACCAACCGAACCGTGAGGTTGGGTCGCGTCGTGAACAGTGGCGGGAACAGTGTCGAGGTGAATGTCGCGAGTGGTAACGGATTACTTTTGGGTGCTGTTGGCGGGAACAGTTGTGTACGCGCTGAGAAGGGACCCCGTCGCCGCCCGTCTCAGCCCCGTCGCCGCCCTTCGCGGCCCCGTCGCCACCCTTCTCGGCCCCGTAGCCGCCCTTCGCCGCCCTTCTCGGCCCCGTCGCCACCCTTCGCGGCCCCTCACGGCCCCTTCGCGGCCCCGTCGCCGTCCTTCGCAGCCCCTTCACGGCCCTTCGTGGCCCCTTCACCGCCCTTGGCGGCCTCTTATCGGCTCCTCCGCGGCCCCTTCTCGGCTCCCTCACAGACCTGCCGCCCCGCCGTCGCCGCCCCTGCAGCACCAACCAACGCCGTTCCAGCAGCGGGAGCCGCCACCGCCGGTGCCGCCGACAGCGGGCAGCCGCCGCCGCCACAGCCGGGGCCGCATCCGCCGCCGCAGCCTACAGCAGGAGCAGCCGCCGACGGCAACAGCCGTAGCCGCCACAGCTGGGGCCGCAGCCGCCTGCAGCTTCCGTCGCCATCGACAGCAGGGGCCGCCGCCGCTGTCCCGGCCCTGCCCTGCAGAGCGGAGCAGCGCTCCTCTGCCACCCTGTAGCGGCCCCGTCCCTGCCGACGCGCCTCGGCCCTGCCCCACCACTTGCGGCACTCTACCCACCTGCCCTGGTAAGAGCACCACCAAGCCGCGCCCCTCCTGTTGCTACTGGTGCTGCTGCCCCTAGCCTGCTGCCACTGCTGTTATGGCTACCCCTAGTGTTCTCGCCTTTGATGTTAAGGGTCAGGCTGTTGACTTTGAGGTCTGGGTCGATGATCTACAGCTTTTCCTACAGTGCGATAGGAAAGACGGTCTCTCACTGTTCGATCTTACGTCTGGCGCCTCTGCTGCCCCTGCTGCTGATGCTGACTGCACTGTTCGCTCACAGTGGGCCACACGCGATGCTGCTGTCCGTCTTGCTGTGCGTAGTCACCTGCCGTCCACTGAGCGCGCGCACTTTAGTTAGTACAAGAGTGCTAAGACCTTGTACGACGCTGTAGTTGCACGCTACTCTTCCCCTGCCAATGCTGCCCTTAGCCGCTTCATACTGCCGTACCTGTTCCCTGACCTTGCCGCCTTTCCCATTGTCGCTGACCTCATTACGCACCTTCGCACTAGTGACACCCGCTACCGCGCTGCGCTTCCTGCTGAGTTCTACGCCAAGAACCCCCCCCCCCCCCCCCCCCATGTACATCACCCTCTACTACATAGTTACCCGGCTCCCTGAATCTCTTCGCTCGGTCAGGGACCACTTCCTCTCTGTTTGCCCCACCACACTCACCGTTGACCTCCTCAAGGAGCGCCTCCTGGCAGCTGAGAAGAGTATAGTCGCTGTAGGAGCCTCTCGTGGTGACCCTCGTGCCCCCTTCTTTGAGGGGTGCTCCCCCTCCCCCCTTTTGCCCTCTGTTGCCTCCGCTGCTGCCGTCGACTTCGTTGGCACCGAGTCGGTCGGCGCCGCGTCTGCCCCTAGCGGGAGACGCCGCACCGGCAAGGGCAAGGGGGGCAAGAGAGCTGGAGGGGCTGGTGGGGGCGGCGGAGGTGGCGGTGGAGGCGGCGGAGGGAGTGGGGGTGGCAGTGGGAGTGGTGGCGGGGGTGGGGGCTTCCGTGGCGGCGGTGGAGGCGGAGGCGACGGCGGCGGTGGCGGTGGGAGCGGAGGAGGAGGCAGTGGCGGCGGTGGCGGAGGTGGCGGAGGCCGAGGTGGAGCTGGTCGGGGTGGCTCTGCGCAGCGGAGCGGATTCGGTGGTGGTCAGCGCAAGCAGCAGCAGCGCACTCGTGACACCTCGCCCCCCCAGCAGCTTCGTGAGTGGTACGTTGCGCGTCAGCGGGGTGGGGATGCTGGTCCTTGTGCCTACGTCCTGCGTACCGGCGACCGCACTGGTGAGCAGTGCGGTGGCGTGCACACCACCCAGCGCTGCTTCGGCCGCCTGACAGACGCTTGGCGTCTCCAGTTCCCTAACGCCACTGAGATCCCCCGCTGGGGTGAGCTTCTTAGGTCGGGGGTTGCTATCTTTGATTTGGATTATGATGCCATTCTTCCTCCGATGCATGTGTGTCTACTAGTGATGAGGGTGACTGTTACCTGTGTGTCCCGCCAGACCCGGGCATTGACGCTGCTGCTCCAGGTGCTGGTGAGGCTGCTGCTCTAGGTGCTAGTGCGTTTGCTGCCCCAGGTACTAGTGAGTCTGCAATCTCAGGTACCATGTCGGCTCAGGCCTTTCACACCTTCACCCTTGACTCTGGTGCTTCCCGCTCCTTCTTTCGAGACCGCACCACGCTTACGCCGCTTAGTCGGCCAGTTGCAGTCTCCCTGACGGACCCTTCTGAGGGTCCTGTCCTTGCCCGCTTCTCCACTATCTTACCGTGTCCGGCGGCCCCCTCTGGCATCCTGTCCGGTCTCTACCTCCCCTCGTTCCCTACGAACTTGGTTAGTGGTGCTGATCTACAGGATGGGGGGGTTGACCAGTTCACTCCTAAGAGTCAGCGGGTGACCCACTGTACGTGTGCTCGGACGGGCCGACACTTAGCCACGTTTACCCGTCAGCCGGGGTCGAGCCTATACACACTTACTACTGAGTCTCCTCCGATTGCCGAGTGTGGACAGGTAGCTGCGTCGGGTCATGTGTTTGCTGCGGCGTCCAGGTCTGGTCCTGAGTCTGCTCCCTGCTCGTCTCGTCTGCTGTCCCACCGGACTCTCCTCTGGCACCACCACCTTGGTCACCCCTCCCTGCCTCGTCTTCGAGGCATGGCCTCCCGTTACCTTGTCTCTGGTCTCCGTCTGTCCCTCCCTCCCCTCCCTCTGGGGCCTGCCCCTACCTGCGTTCCCTGTGTCGAGGGGCGGCAGCGCGCCGCCCCTCACTCCTCCGAGTTTCCTCCGACAGAGGCTCCGCTGCAGACTCTTCACATGGACGTGTGGGGCCCCGCCCGCGTCCGTGGCCAAGGTCACGAGCGTTACTTCTTGTTGGTGGTTGACGACTACTCGCGTTACACCACGGTGTTCCCCTTGCGCAGCAAGGGTGACGTCACTAAGGTGTTGATCGACTTGATCCGCGCGACTCGTCTCCAGCTCAGAGAGAGTTTCGGCTTGGACTTTCCTGTTCTTCGTCTGCACTTTGACAGAGGCGGTGAGTTTTCCTCTGCCTTTCTGGAAGCCTTCTGTTGTGCACAGGGCATCCGCAAGACCTTCACGCTTCCGGCCTCTCCACAGCAAAATAGAATTGCTGAGCGCCGCATTGGCATGGTCATGGACGTCGCTCGTGCGTCCATGATCCATGCGGCTGCTCCCCATTTTCTGTGGCCGTGTGCGGTTCGGTACACAGCGCATCAGATCAACCTTCATCCACGGGTCTCCTTGCCAAAGACCTCCCCCACGTTGCAGTGGACAGGGAAGGTTGGCGATGCGTTTGGGTTTCGTGTCTGGGGATCTCGGGCGTTTGTCCGCGACTTGTCTGCGGACAAGCTGTCCCCCCGTGCTGTTCCCTGCGTCTTCCTTGTCTTCCCCCTTGACGCACCTGGTTGGCAGTTTTACCACCCCACCTCGCGCCGTGTTCTGTCCTCCAACGACGTCACCTTTAACAAGCCGGTTCCTTACTACCGTCTCTTCCCCTACCGCACTACGCTCCTCCCCCCGGCGCCGCTCTTCCTTGCGCCAGGTCCCCCCCCGGTAGATCCTCTCCCCCCTCAGGGTCCTGCCCCGTCAGGTGTGTCCTAGGTAGACGCAGACGAGCCTGTCGAGGTAGCTGTTGACTCTAGTGCTGATAGGGGTGCTGAGCCTTTGGGTGCTGAGTCTGGGGGTGCTGAGCCTGGGGGTGCTGAGCCTCGGGTTGCTGAGCTTGGGGGTGCGGAGTCTGGGGGTGCGGAGCGTGGGGATGCTGGGCCTGGGGTCGCTGAGCGTGGGGGTGAGGAGCCTGGGGGTGCTAAGCTTGGTGGTGCGGAGCCTGGGGGTAATGGGTCTGCTCGTGTGGCCTCTCGCGGTGCTGGGTCTGGGGGTCCTTCGGGTGCTTTGTCTCGGCGGAAGCTACCTCTCCATAGGATCTGCGCGAGTGGTTTGCCCGGCGCTCGAGCCGTGCTGCTAGAGCTGGAGGTGCTACTGTTGCTGCTGACCCTGGGGTCGGCGCTGGAGGTACTGGAGACCCTGGTCCTAGCGGTGCTCATACTGGCGGTACTAGAGCTGCTGGGACTGGGGGTGCTACTTGGGCTACTGGAGTTGGTCTTGCTGGAAGTGCTGCGAGTGGTGCTGGAGGTAGTAGAGCTGCTGGGGGTGTTGGCGCTGGAGGTGCTTCTAGCGCTGGTACTTCTGAGGGTGCTGGAGTTGGCGATGCTGGAGCTAGAGGTGTTGTTGGCGCTGGTGCTTCCGCTGGGGGTACTAGTGCTGTCCCTGCTGTTTCAGGAGGCGTTGAACGGCCGCGGCTGTACTTCGTTCCGCTCCTTGGGCATGTTCTTGGTCTCTCGCCCTCTCCTGGTCCTGCTCCTCCCTTAGCGTGTCCACAGCCTGTCAAGTCGCAGTCACAGTTACAGCCCGCCTTCCCCCTACCTGCTCCTCCTCCCTACACTGGTCCTACTGGAGGTATTGCTGAGCATCGTGAGCCTGCGTCTCGTACTACGTCGCCTGTTCCTGCTGCTCGCACTAGTGGTCGTGTTCCACGTCCGC